CCTGCACCTTCTCAAGGTCAGCAGGGTGGTTTGGTGCTGAAGCCACTGGATTCCTTGAACCGAATCAGTGGGAGTGGCAACGGCAGCATTCCTGGCCTTCAAGCTATGGCAGGTGAGTCCAAGCCAATCGGCCTTGTGACAGACACGAGTGCTTCGCCGCTCTGGCAGCGTTTTGCATACTGCTCCCAGCATGATGTTGGAGTTGCATTTTCAACCTCCTACTGTGCAGAAGATAGTCGTATTTGACATCAGCATGTTCAAAGATCCTGATGTATAATATGGCCTTAAAAAAACCAAGAGTCAACAAACCTGAAGTGAGCAGAGCAACATGCTGTTGAGCGACCATTAGAATCTGAGGCCAACAACCGATTTCTTCAAAGAGGAGAACGGATATGTGCAAGGCTTAACCTGCGAGTCAGTAGAGATGTGTCTATGGCTGTGTCCGTTGGGATTTGGCAACTGAGGAACCCTTACTGATGCACTCTGGGGTCTTGCCATGAAGCAACTACTTTAAAACATCTGAGATACGCACATTCTGACTGTCAATAGTGCTAGGCTCTCCATGGTCATTGGCTCCAAAAGTCGCTTGTGACTTCGGCGCTTGCTTCCGACCCATTTTACTTTTTGTCGAGCGAATACAGCCCGCCAAGACACGTCGGGCAGAATGAAGCACTCAGCACGATGAATCCAACAGGCCCAATACGCTCTCTTTCGGATCTCTCGCAAATTCAAGTCCAGAATTTGAGGGCCGCAGAGTTTCAAGGACCTTGTGATCGATTTTAGTAGTCATATATATATATAATGCTTATTACTGGCCGATCCCTTTCTGACTGAGTAATCACGTAGCGTCGTATCGCACGAGAGCCCTTGATCCTCATGGATGTCTCATCTTTCACGTTCGCCACGCCGGCATCTTCTGAGGTCCCCAGCGCAGCTGCAGGTGGGCGGCGGCCCCGGCGGCCTCGCGCAGGCGCGGGGAAATTCGATCGTCCAAGTGGCGAGAGTTCATCAGGTGCAAGAAGTGGATTAGTTGATCAATGGTGCGGTCAGTTGGTCAGTTGGTTTGGACAGTCCTACAAGGTTGTGCAATGCACTCTTAATTCTGAAACATTCGGAGGATAATTGCATTTATTTTTTGTGAGGATGGGTATTATCAAAGCAGTTTAATGCAGTTTGTTATATACTGTATCTACTTTTTGGTGACACTCTTTGGTTGCATTTGATGCCCTTCTTTCTGTTTCCTTGCTCATGACTCAAACATCTCTTCTGACGTCTTCAGTATACAAGTCTTGTGGGTTTATCTTCTCAGTCACTTTGCGGTACCAATCATTTGTGGACACGTATACTTCGACGTATACCGGTTAAACCTCATTTGAGGCCCAAGACGCCGGTGAACATGTCGTGTCGTCTCGCGAGACCTCGGTCGGTGGCACGAGGTCTCGGTAGCAGGTAGACGACAACGTGCGGGTCGGTGGAACTGGAGACGTGTGGACCGCGAATTACACGGGTGTTGAGCCCGACCAGTGTTGAGCCGGACCACGTCGGGTGGTGAACACACCGTGCTATCACCAGTGCTAGGCCAGCTCTGAGGGGCTAGTGCAAGGCATTGCCGAAGTGGGCACTGATGAAGAGTCCCGGAGAATCTGGCAGATGTCGCAGGGAAGAGAATCCAGGGAAGACTGATTCAAGTCGTGATATCCTCATGTTTTTGACGTTGGGAATGCACCGAGGAAAAGGAACAACCTCGATTTTCCTGGCTGGGTGGACCCTGTGATTTTACTAATCATCAGGGTAGGTGCAAGCGATCAAGAAAGCGCAGTAAGTTCAGGGTCTCAATAAGCGTACATAACTTTAGTAGGGAGGGTGCAGTTGTGCTGAGAGTTTGTGCACCAAATCACATTCAATAAGCGATAGCCTCACCCCCCCCAAAAAAAGATGCGCGATAACCCCTGTAGCATCCTGCAACCACAGCCCCAAGAAACGACAAGTCAATGAATCGAACAGCGAAACCAACCAAAGACTGTTGTGCACATTCACGCAACGGGGCCAAGCCTGCTGCAGCTTGCCATGTCAGACATGTGATGCTTATGGCGAGACCGTTCGTTCGACTTAGCGATAAGCGAACAGCGAGAAGCTATCGCGATGGCCATGTGTTACCTGAAGTCCCCCAGAGTCAAGGGGTAGACCCATGAACCTAGATAATCTAGATATAGACGTTATCTAAAAAGGAAGTCCTTCATCAGTTCTTGACCCTGTAAGGAGCTTTCATGGATTCCAGAGCATGTTGAATCATGGCAGCATGGCAGCAGGTTTATTTCAGTGTATTTTCACTTTCACTCACTTGCACCAGTCCTAAACGATCGAGCGCCGGGGGTGCCTCAATTGATCGAACCTGTCATCCTCGACCGGGTGCTGCCTCGGCAGGGCTAGTCTCACAGATTTGAGACATACCAAGTACTGACAGAACCCTTCATTCTTTTGCGGTTCCGGGACAGATGTCTACTGCGGCCAATCTCCAGCGCATGGGCATCGACGGATTGCGTCGATGGCTTCAGCGAAGCGCCCGATTTTGGTCTCCATGACGTTGGCTCACGGTGCACGGCTCGCACCATGCGGTGCAACCCCAAAGGGACGACAGGCCTGGCTGTGAGCACATGACATGGGTGATGGACAGCTGTCTAGCTGAAGACTGCCAGAGGAGTGGTGTCTAGCTGAAAGAACGACAGAAACCGCAGCAATCTTTTGTCACCTGTCATGTTGAAGTCGTTAAATAATGCCTAGTTTTGGAAGGTTTTCAGCATATGGAGGATTTGACAGCATACTTGGTCCACATATTGTACCAATCTCGCGTCCGCTTTGGTTCTTTTGAATTACAGGTCAGTTAATCAAACATCGCGCAGAAAATGCAGTGCGGTCATCAATAAGAAAGGCTGTCAGACATTGGGCCACAGGCTGCCAATAGTCACCATGAGCTTGGACCTGAAACACATGGATTCACAGGAGATGGTACCCCTGCAAACTGCAAACTAACATGGATCCTGATGTTACCACTGGTTTTCAATGCACATGATTGGTCCAAGGGTCCATTTTCAGGAGGGTCTCTTGGTTGAGGAGAAGATGCCTTGTCCATGTGACGTGTGCGATTCCAACTACATTCTTCCTCCAATACATGTTCTGCTGAACGCAACCCAAACGTAGGCCTGACTTTCCTTGCTGGAAACTGGTTTGAATCCGAGTTTGACCCCCGTGGAGTTTGATGTCAAGGCTTGACTCACTCATGCATTCTGTCTGAGTCATTTCCAGCCTTTTTTTCATGTTCCTAGATTGTGTGATTAGGCCGTCTTCCGGCCGCGAGACACCCCTCAGTCTCAGGTTTTCATGCAGTCTTGGGACGTACGCACTCCCCGAAATAATTCATCTACTGTAAGTGGACAATGACCATTTTCCTCTACAATTCAGGTGGCTTTTCGCTTCCATATTAATGACTCGGAGAGTGAACGGAATCAGGTGAGGCATCTCGACGCTTCTTTTTCCTTTGGACAGATGCCGCTACAAGCGGTATCTGATTCACCACACGTCTTTGAGGTCAACTCAGCAGATCTCAGCAGAAAGACATCTACTTTCGGTGACTAAGGACCTGTGCCCAAGACTCTCTCCGTGCATGTCCCCGAAGGGGAGCGAATCCATGTGCATCGCCCAACGGATGGCCCCATCGATGGGACCAAAAGAGTCGCCCCATTCCGCTGGGCGGGTGGATCCGGCGATTCCGCGCACGCGACGGGTGTGCGACCATGGCGGGGTTTGGCGGGAGAAGACTCCAGGTTTGGTTTCTGCCAAAAGGTCACAAGTCCCACCAGCTGACCATGCGATTCCAGGCGATTGATGTTGGACTGGGGAGTGGATTTTGATCTCTTTATATAGACTACCATTGACCCTTCCGGCTGACAGATGCACACAAGGGCTATTTGAGTTAGATCCAGTTGCCGTGCTTGGTTGAACACACTGTGGGGCTGCCAGGGCAGGACAAGGACCAAGAAGGGAAGTCCTCGTGTCAATTGCATGTCAAAAATCACATGTAGAGATAAGAGGGAAGCCAGGTTTTTTGGACTTGCAATTTGCAATCAAACTCATTGATAATGATCATTTTGATTGGAACAATCATTGCTCGGGAACAATCTCATTCTCAATGTATCACGTTAGTTTGGAGTTCTATGACGCCACCACAGCCAGCCTCGTCACACCAACTTGTTGGTGGGCCCAGGTGCTGGAGACCGTCGCTCGTCTTCCGTACTTCTCTTACATCACCGCCCGGAAGCTAAGAAGAACCGCACCAAGAGCCGAGCACACCCGTGACGTCGCACCAACTTGCTGCGTCACACCGGTGCTGTCGCCGACTCGCACCGGTTCGCTGCCGACCGAGTCGCCGCGAAGCGTCGGGACGGTTCAGAATTGGAGAACACCTGGGAGGTTGAGAAGTGGTTTTAGGTTGCTCTGAGTACTGGTGGGATTTTTGCTGATGGGTGAATCTTCAGGGTTCAGTAGTTCATCATTCGTTTCACAATGTTTTGCTCATTCAAGCAGGTGAAACCCCATGTTTTGACTCACTGAAACACTTCGTGTTGGTTTTTTGGCTGCAAGAAGATGGCTTTGAACGCTTTTCCCTCCTAGTCTTTGAAGGTCCGAAAGCAGCATCGATCCCTCCATGCCGAGCTCACGTTGCTCGTTGTAGCAGGTCCTGCACCTCTATGAGTCCTTAGGCTGAACTGAGGGAACTGAGGGACCGAAGGCAGATGACCCAGGAGTTGTGGGAGTTGTGGCTTGCAATCACATCGGACATGCAACCAGCACTTTGCTCCATGGGTTTTTACGGTATCGTGCTCCAGCTTTACATGTCATCACATCCAATGCATTGGAGGTCTTGAGTCTTGAGTCTTCATGGCTTCACAAGGCTTCCAAAGCCAGATCACGGTGCTGGAAGATTGCCGCAGATGGCAGGTTGGTGGAGGTCCCCGGAGATTCGCCACATCCACTCGGCAGAGGAGGCTGCAATGGAGAGGGTGTAGAGCTGGATGGAGAGGAAGGCATTATGATCGTGGGACTATCAGGGGCTGTGATATTGGCAAGAACTGTAGAGGTCGGAGCTTTTCGTTTCTTAGAATCACACCGAACACTGAAATCTGATTTTACTTCCACGAAAGGCCCTGCGATTTTATTCACCTTTCAAGTGTCCCCTGGATTCCTGTGCTTACAGGACTTTCCATGAATTTTCCACACACCCTTTTTGAAGGATGTTTTCTTTTTGCCGTGCATCACTGACAGTGTCCTCGACCGGGGCCACTTTGGGCCAGGCAAATTTTAGGGGCGAACCGGGGGCGGCCGCCACACCGCGGTGGCAACCGGGGGCCGTCTCTTTGGTATGTCCGGCACGTGTTCGATCATCGAACAACGGGAGGTTCCATGCCATCGACGCCAAAAAGACGGGATGTTTCGATGCTCTTTTTTCTCCTGTTTTGCCTCTGTTGCTAGACAGCATCAGACAGGTGTGCAGCAGTGGTTGTTGGGGCTGCCAGTGCGATTCCCCGAGGGTCCAAACATGTCAAAACCTTAGAGATGAATATGTTAGACCATGCGGGTGGGTGACTGGCTGGGAGGACCTTTCTTTGTTTGGCATTGACTCTTTTAGTTTTGTTTCGATTTTTGGCTATTGGAGAATGCAAACTGTGATTGCAAAGACTAGAACCACAATGGAGACATGCTAGGATTCACTCGTCAGCTTGTTTCACTACTCAGGGCCGTTTCTTGTGGCCCAATTTTCTCTCGTTGTTTGATCTTCCTTCTCTGACTTGAAGGACAATGAGCTCCATCATCTCCTCATTATGGAGGCGAGGTCGACCATCTGGACTTCTCTTGGGAGGATGTGAAATGTTCAAGAGAGTACCCTCTTCATTGACTTTACTGAATCAACCGAGAACAAACACAAAGCTCGAACATAGCTAACATAGCAAATCGCTGGCTCGGGACCCGCCAAGTATAACTTGCGAGTTACAGGCGTCTTCTTTTAGTCAGGCAAACCGACACTCTAAGACTGCACACAAAAGTCCATGCTTCGCCGCTTTTTCGGCCAAAGGCGCCACACAATTTGCTCGTTGACTGCCTGGAGGAGGGAAGAAGTGTAAAGAAATGAAGAAAAAACGAAAACACGGAGAAATAGAACTAACACACCCAAAGTCTAAAAGGCCTTCTTTCAAGTTTGACACGCCTCCCTGCAAAGCGCCCTGCAAACAACTTCCAAGCAGCGCTTTCAACGCCTAGAGTGCTATATATATATACATACATAATCATATATATACAACCTACACACACACACTCTCTCTCTCTCTAAAAGAAATGCTTTGCAAAGCAATTGTTGTGCTCCTGCCATCCTGCTTGAATGCTTGCAGCAGAACCATCGCCTGGGACGGACGCTGAAAAAATCTGCACAAGCATCGCACCAACTGGAACTTCTAGTCCTACACGCACAACTCCTGGTCAGCTTTGCAATGCGTTTGAGGAGTTGTTTGAGTGTCGAAAGGTTTGAGAAATCATCTTCAACCGCCTGAAAGCCTCTTGAACCCTGCCTCTGTCATGTTGGCCGGTCTGTGTTCGAAACAACAAACGGCCAGGGAACGAAGAAAGCGTAACACAGAAGCTGGCCGCCATGGGTTGCATGATTCAAATGACGATGTATTTGCACAAAGTCTTGGTGTAGTCATTTTATGTCATTTTAACTTATTCAACATTCTTCTTTGAAAAACATAAAAGGTTACAAACTTTAATCAAACGTCAAGCGTCTTGAAACACGATAGAACAACGTAGTTGTTCAATTTCCAGAACAGTGCTCGTGGGTTTCCTATTGATGTGGCCCAAAATCAAGCAACAACAAAGGTTTTTAGTGAGACTTTAGCAATAAACTTTGCAGTCTTCAAACAGAAAAAGTTGAACAAGTGGACAAACAAACGGACTGAGAACAACATATTCTGTTGTAACATGAAGTTGTGTTATGTTACTGTATATATATATATACTATTTACATTTGTTTTGGAGTGTGTTGAATGCGTTCCAGAAAAGTTACAGAACAGGCTTCGTGGAGTCCCCCTTGATGTTACCCGACATCAATCGATATGAATGCTTTTAAGCAACACTTTTTGTAATAGATTGTGCAGTTGTCAGAACAGGTCACAGAAAACTATGAAAACACATTAGAGCCTGGATGGGTCTCTTTAAGCTATGGTTACTGTGCAGATAGACATGGGGCCTTGGAACTATAGTCAATTTTTTGTCAATTGAGGTGTCTCGACGTACCCACCAATGTAGCAACGAGGTTGAGCACAAGGTAGATGAAACTGACATGCAAATGAAGCCTTCTGACTGGGCGAAACTCCGGTCCCCTTTATATACATGTAGGTGAAAGCCTCAATACCGTTGACATCCTGATACCTGCGTGATACCTGCTTACTGTCTGTATGTAGGTGAAAGCTCAGAAACCTTTCACCTAATTGTTCGTTCTGGATTAAGTTATTTAAGTGTTTTTGTTTTGAATGACATGACAGACCTGGTAGTTTTCGCTGAAAGACTCAACCTGTTTCAAACAAACAGACCGTGGCCCGTTTCATCAACGACGCGTTCGTGGAACGAGGCCCTGGGTGGCGATGTGAACTGGTTTGACCGCTTCGCGGCGCAGCATGCGGTGCGGGGGCCGGGGGTCTCTGGGCCAACGAGATGGTGGAGACTGGACAAACCAAAGGACGACCCACTTAACATTGCTACTAGTAACAAGGGCAGCGGCATCGCTATCTTCGTAGCAAGAAGCTACGAACCTACGTTTTTGATGCCCTTGTTACTAATAGCGATGCGTGGCACTTGTTACTACCCACCCCAACAAAAAAACAGCTCCCAAAATTGTCATGTGCTGTTGCAACTGCTATTGTGCACGTCTTCCCATATGCATAACAGAAAGCTATATATATATATCGATGCCATGGTGATCAAACACGGTGTTTGAGTTGCTTTTCATGTTTAGACGAGCTCCTATCAACCAGCACCTGTCAACCCCCGAACTCGTTGCATCGAAGAAGGCGCTGGCCTATTACTGGATCGTCACTGGACTCTTTGTTTTCAGCCCTGAGAACGCGTGCGGAATCCTGGCGTTGGCCCCGTCGGAACCTGGGTTGGTGTGGGTTGGTGACAAGTCAAACAGAGGATTGGATGCCAAGGCTGTTGAGGGAAGCCTTCAAAAACAACAAAGGGTGGCCCTTCCCATGTTCTTGTAAGATGCTTTTCCAACGTGCAGTGCCGTGGGTGATAGGGTGGTGATGACTGGAGAAAGCACGCTTTGTTTCCACTCGGCCATCCAGTCAGCGAAGGTACAACTTCTCTCACCTGGTAGAGGCGGGACGCATGTGACGCATGTGACGCGCGCGCGCGCGCGCGAAAAGGGTTCGTCCATTCGTTTGGAGCTTCCTCCAACTTAATAGCTTCCTCCAACTCGTTTGGTGGTGTGACCTGTTTCATCCTGTTTCCTTTCGGTACTCACGATGAGGCCCATCCGGTACTCAATTCGCTGGGAGGCCCACCTTGGGGACAGGTCATTTGGGATTTCTCTGGACGATGGCCGACAGGTGGGGAAGAAGACGGCAGACGGCAGACGGACGCTCGGGGACCGGGACTGGTAGCCCAAAAGGCGATCGGAAAGACCTGAGAAGTCCTTTTCACACAGAAGGTATCAGAGGACAGGCGACTTTTCCTGCCTCCAGGAAGGACATGGCCTGTCTTCGGTGTATGGGAATGAAAGACCAAGCCAATCGTCTGAAGGAGCACGCCTATGTGACATACCAAGTCTTCGCAGAGGAGAACGCGGAGCTCTTGCGAAGAGCTCCTTGTTCAGCAGATCAAAGGTGCTGACGCGAACTGAATCGTTTGGTTTCTTTTGGTTGCGCCAATTGACACCCTCCTGGTTTTTCTTGCGGCTTTTCCCGTTTCTATTTGCGGTGGGCCGTGGTAGCCGTCGTGAACATGGTATCCGTCGTGGAGGCTCAAGAAGTCTGAATGGGGGTTTGCATGTTCTTTCTGTGAAGAATGGCCGTAACATCAACTGATGTGCAAAAAGCGGGAAGTTCGCAGTCCGATCCGATCTTCGGGACCACGGGCGGCATCGCGGCCACCACGGAGCATTCGGACGCGACGCTACGTTCGGGGCGAACCTGGCCGTACGACGAACGGAAGAAGAAGCCCTAAACTCTTGATGAATCAACCCCCCCTTTAAGGATGCTGTTTATTCCAAGAGACACTTGTTTCTTAGCCAAGTTGAATGTTCTGAACCCACTCCGGTTCAGCAGCAAGAACTTGGTCTTCTTCGGCTTCCGTTGACCCGACAAAACCATGGTTTCAGAGACACTCCGTTCGAACGACTTGGATGGCGAACCGGCCATTCACACGCTTCCCACATGGAACTGGCGTGGAACTTGTTTTGGAAAAGACAGTATGTGATAGTATATACATTAGAAGCTTGTGATGGTGATGGTATTACATTCCGTGACCTTGCCTTTCGGTTACGTCGGATGTGTGTTTACATCGACAAAATGGAACACCATGGCGTCTTCCCAGGACGTACTTGCTTGCAAACACACGGCGTCCCAAGGGCGGACTTTTCCTCAGGGCACCATTCTAGGTGCAGTTCCTTTGTTTTCGAAGAGCTGAGAGATCTGGCGTTGCTTATGGATGGAGGTTGCTGGAAGAATATTTCCTCGTGGGATGCTCGCTATCTTTTTTGTACTTTGTCCTCGCTGTCGCTGATTCAACCATGAGTGTCAACAGTGCTGTTTCCCGTCCCAATGCGGATTTCGTGCGGACAGGATTACGGGAGTGGTGATGAAAAGGTTTTACCATCCAAACGGGGGGGTGATCAATCAAGAGGCTACATTCTACTGGCCAGTGATCCACGGTGATCATCGTGGGTCCGAGGTGCCTCCACCGCCCATTGCCGTGAAGTACTACGTCTCCGGGGATCTCTACAACTTTGCCGCTCGGCGACGATGGGGCCCGAAGCGCCCCTGTCATGAGCGTGGACGCCTCGGGTGTGGGTGACATGTCACGACGGAGGGGCGCTGGAGGGGATTCTTCATCAATGCATTGGGTCCAGTAAAGAGGATTAATCAATGAACATGCATGAACAAAAGAGCAGATCATGGTGCAAGCAAGGAGCCAATTCAAGGGTTGGAGAGCCAAGAGTTTTTGGGTGATGTCAGGTGATGTAATGGCTGCACCCTTGAAGCCTTCGAAAACGCACGACACGGCGTTCGAACAAGTACAGATGGTGTTCCACCGGTTTCGGGACTTCTTCCTTTCTTCTGCCCATCGAATATGCCTGCGGGTGCTCACGTCATGATGTTACCAGAGTTGTGTTTGCTTGTTCACAGTGTTACCATGCTGATAGTTGGCACTGAACTGCTTGACCTGGATCCCGACGTTTTCCATCCAAATCCCCACAGTCTGTGCCTGTTTCCTGAGGACAAATTCCAGACACGCCATAGAGAGGACCCAGCGTGTGGGCGAGTCGCCTCTTTCGTAGAACATGTCGGTAGGGGGTGAGTCCACGCAGCATTTCACTTGCTCTGTCAGCTTTCCAATCTCCATTCACATGATCAGTGATTAAGGCATCCACATGAGTTTACTTGCTGTAGAGTTGAGCCGGCCAAACAAGAACAGGACTCTATTGTTGTTGGGTACGATCTGAAAGTTCTGATCGGCAGCATCCCCGACCAACTCAATTGGCTGAGCATCTCAAGTCGGGGGCTCTCACACAGGAGCATCGCCGCCCCCCCTGCGCCAATCTCTTGGATGCCCGCGGGCCTGGTTTTCAGGCTTTTAACGCTGAAACATCCAAATGGATCATGAGATGACATGACATGGATCGTAGGTGTCGACCTATTTCACCCTCAGACTCCTGAAAACGGGCCTTAGTGGCTTGGAGATGGGTGCGATTAAATCAAGATTCATCAAGACCTGCTCGAGCCTCTAATCAGCTCGCAACAGGGTAGCCCGTTTTCGCTGCACATGTCAGCTCAGGTGCCAGCAGTCCATGCTGTGTCTGTTTGATGATGTGTCCATCCCGTTCGGAGCCGAGGTGTTCCAGAACATCCGGGACGACGAATACGAACACATCGTCACCATGAAGGCCCAACTTCGACCGCCTGATTTCTTCGGCGTCGACGTGAAAAGGTGTTTACCATAGATAGCATTGGAGAGTGAAAGTTTCGGTGAAAGGAACATAAAGATTTGAAAGAACGTTTCGATGTTCCACATGGATTCAGAAACTCGGCTCTTTTTTCGACCAAGTAGAGAGAATTCTCACTCTAATTCAATATTGTTTCATTCTACTATGATTTTCCTCTACTGTAGTCTGTAATTTTGTCGATATATATACATCCATATCATATTCTTGCTTTTGGTGTTGATGCCGTTACGGGACCCTACATTTCAGGCGTTAAAATTGTCATTCTACTGATGGAACGTTGCTTTATGTGAACATTATGTTCATCATCAACACCAGTATGTAAAAGGATCATCAACATTACCATTTCATCCGCTTCATCTTTACATTATCTTCATTTTTTCATTATTGCATATCTTGATTTTTGTTTCATAATCTTTGTCATCTATCCACCTCTTCCTTTCATGAACTTCATCTACACAATCGCTTCATTCTCTTCATCTTAATCTTCGCTTCATTAATCTAATTTTATCTACAGTATACACATATATATATATACATATGGGTTTTATTATATATGTCTTCACTTCGTGAACTGAACTTTGTATCCATCTTTGCTTCATATATATATATATGCATGTTCATGTTCTTTGCATTTTGAGTTCATCTTCATCCCAGTTTCATGAACTTCATGTCATTTCATGAACTTTATCTACATCTTGAACACTGTTAAACAAAGAAAGAACGCATAAACACTTGTGCGATGAGACACGTTTCGATTCTCGGTGTCCTTGACAATTTGCTCACTGTAGCTTTCGTCATAAACGCCCAAAAAGGCAAAGCCTGTCGAGCCTGCCCGTAGTAGATTTGGTTCCCTCGAAAGTCATTCACAAATTCAGGATCATGCATTTCCCCCCACGACATGCTCAATTCCATGAAGCAAGGAACAATTCTGATTGGCTCAAACAGGGGCCCATTACGGCGCCCGCATCTTCCATTCCCTTTCTTCCTGTTGATCTTTGTCTTTCAAATGACCATTTCATGTTCGTGAGGCCTGCCAAGAGTGGTGGGCCGGGCATGGGCCGTCACCTATCCCTGAGGCGGCTGAGAGGCGGAACACCGTCATATCATTCAAAGACGTCAAGTGAGAACTATACTAGAGTAGTTAGAACTACGTGCTCTCTGCGAGTTCTGTTGGGAACTTGATCGTTGGGTTGAGGCGGCACAGGGCATTCCGAAGGATGGGACGACTCCTGCCCAGGACCGTGTCGCAGGAGCGAGAGGCCGAGAGCGTGAACGGTCCGTCTTCGGCGCGACGATCGTTTCGAATGTGTGGCTTACTGAAGATCTTGGGGTCAAAGGTGTATGGATCTTAGCAGTTTTGAGCGGCTTGCCACGTTCCAAAGACAGCACATGGTGTGACTCCCAAATGGGAGAATCCCAGAAACAGACACGTTCTAATCTTCTTAGAGAATTGAATTGCATTTTGTATTCGCATTAGATCTTCTTTACTCGCTTTGTGTAAAACTTCATGATCTTCATGCCAAATCAGCAGGATGGCCAACTTACGGTGCTTTTAGAACTGAAGCTGGGCTTCAGGAACCAAACGAGCAAGTGCCTTTCTTTGTAAACCTCTTCAGGGATGTGTCAAGACCTAAGAAGGTGAGGGTTGCATGGCCAGCCAATTCAGGTGCCAAGTCGGCCAAAGGCTCTAAAAACCGACTAATTAGATGAGACTCGACTAGACGAGACTCCACAAAACCGAGCGTCTTTTTCGCATGGCTCGATGATTGGGAAGGGTTTTGTAGATGTTCATCCCCAAGCGCTTTTGGTGTAGAGAACATAGAAGCAAACATCCCACCGACTCAAAGACTGAAGCTGAGCTTGAGCGAAAACTGTTGCCTTTAGCTTCTCTGTTTCGCCCAAGGGCATCCCAGCAGAGCCTTTGTGGGGACAGCCTTTTTGGCCGTCAACGCGGTCGCCGGACCGATCCGATCGTCCAAGGGGTCAGACGGAGGAGCGGCGGTCTCTTCATGTAAAACCGACTCCTTGGTGTTTCCAGGCATGGAACCAGTGGGCAGAGGAGTTGAATAAGCTTGGCAAAGTGAAACTGGACGAGTGAGGGCGGCAAACGTGGGTGCCTGTTCAACGGTTGCCGCAACAAGCTGCTTTTTGTTTTTCTTGGGATCAAGTTCCAAAAGAGAGTGATTTGGACTCTTTGGAAGTCATCAGCAAAAGATGATCTCTTGCCCACAAAGCCAATTAGAACCAGTGAGGTCTCTCTTGAGACCACGATTCCCGGCGAGCTGCTCGGTAGTCAGTCCGAGCCAATGGTTTCTAGTTCCATGAGAGTGGGTGCTGTCAACACAAGACACTGGTTCATCAACCGACAACACCTCATCCATCCGGAAGTAGTTGGCCAGCTAAGATCCATGATCAATTGTTCTATAAGATTCTGATAGATTCTGCTTGCCTCTCAGAGGTGCATGTTTTGCGGCCATTTATTTGCGGCCCCAACAGGTGCGTTTCGCATGTCTCATCGGATATACCTTGGTGGTTTCAAGATTGGTCAGAAGCATCATAAGGACATCAAGGTATCAAGTGATGTCGGCATGTTAGGCAGAACGCCAGGTGTTTATTGTTAGTATACACCATCCTTTTCGTCCGGCTGCTCCGGGCTTGTGGAGGTGTTGCCGCGGTCTTGCAAAGGAAAAGGGCAATCCTAAACGCTTCTTCTCCTCTGGGTCATCAAACCACTACTTTCAAGGCTTGACCGTGAGGGAGACCCCCGAACAGTGAAGGGCCAGCTTCGAGGATTCTTTCTGGATTGCTCGCAGTTTTTTGGCAGCATCCAAGTCTCGTTCATTCCAAAGGAGAATGAACTTTTAACACGAAGGAAAGGCCAAGGGGTTTTGTTGGGCTGCGCATCGCGCGGGCTTTGCGCAATGGTTGCGCGTTTGTGCAACCGCGCAGCTGGGCCGCAGTCCCCATGTGTTGCGGTGCGTTGTGGCGTCCTGTGACGGTTTTGGAAAAGAAAGCGGCATTGTTGTCTAGCTGGTGTGTAGCAGGCCCGAGAGCTTCAAGCAAACTGAAGAGGGATGGAAAGCACTCTATCATGATGTAGCCTTTTACAGAAGATAGTCAATTGAATGTGTGTGTGTGTGCAACAATTTGGAGGGGGGGCTTTGGATGTCCTTAAGCCCATGCAGCTGCAAGCTTGGGGAGAGGCTTGCGTAGGAAATGAGAAGGCTTGGAGACACACTAGAAGATGCTTCTTGCTGTTGGTTTTAGGTAGCTTGCAGAAGTGCCTCCAGGGCTGCCAGATGTTCCAGCAGCAGAGTCTGATGTTTAAGTCAAGATAAGTCAAGATTTCCTACTGTTAGAGATGCCTTTCTCTTGTCTTAGTGAACAAAAGAACAGCTGAACAGCAGTCCGTGACGCACACGGACGGCTCGTGTCGGGCTTCGTTCCAGTGCGCTGATCGCGCGTTCTTCTCTCGTCGATCTTCTCTGGTTCAAAGCTTCACCGCCCAGTGAGACGGGGTGGGTGGGTTCCCCCAGCGAGGGGGAATCCCTTTTGGGATGGATACCTACTCAGCGAGGTGGGACCGCCCGGGATCGCTGGGGTGGTTTCGATGGAGAAAAACGTGTCCTCTCAGCATGTGGGGAATGCCCCAAAAGGGAGAGTTCATGCTGGGGTTGCCAAACATGTGCAGCTTTGTCAAGAGAATGTTTTGAGCCTTGAACACTCTTGAGGGATCAGAGGAAGCCTTTGCCACATAGGTCCAAATAGGCTGATGTACCATGTCTGAGGCGAGAAGCTTGGCATGTCTGAGGGAGTGAGACGAAGTCCGGATTTCGCATGTTACGAGAACATCGAATCAGCTTGGCCCTGTCATTCCGCCTATGAACAGTTGTTGTCGTTCCTCGCAGAGTAGAGCCTTGACTGAGGGCGAACACCATTTTCTGCACCTTTTGCACTGTGCTTGGCACCACGGCTGTCTTGAATCATCTCACGTTGGGCACCCAGTTGGATGGTTGCCGGCAAGAAAGACCGGTTGGCCAGGAGGAAGGACTAGTGACTAGTGACACTAGGGCCCAGGGTTTGGATGTTTCGCATGTAGAGAACACTCTACAGAAAGCAATGAAGCATTTTTTTCTAGTGTGTCCTCTCCATCTGAGGACGTTTTTGCCCATGGACCGCTTCAACGTACAGACTTCTGGCACAGTGCAGCTGAACAAGGTGGATGGATGTTGGATTGGACATGATTGGACAAGGAGTATTTGGTATGGGGATGTCGGATGTGCAGCGTATCTCCATCTTTTGGAGACCCAAGAAAACATCGATGTGTATCAAGGACCAGAGCAGTCGCTTTCGGAAGGCTTTCTTCTCAATGAGGGTGGCGAGGTGAGTTCCCGCCCCAACGAACATCTACTGGTCTGTGGGCCCACACCGGTTCCCCCTCTGAAGGTGCACAAGAAAGAGAGCCACATGACTCTTCGACCCCTCGCCAGCAGCCTGGCGTTGCATAGACTGATGATCTCTGACGGTCGCTTTCCCACATCAACATGGTCAGAACACGGTGTCCGGCTGGGTTCAAGACCCATGGTCCGGGGTGTCTGTTCCTCGGTTCCTCGCCTTTCAGGTGCATGACTTGATTCCGAACTCTCATCTCAATAGTGACCAGAGTAGGAGCCTCAGCTGGGCATGAGCGAGGTGCAAGAGCGGCGGTTCAGAGAGGCCATCAGACCAGAGAATGGATCGGTGAGGAGTTGTGTTTGTTCAGAAATGTAAAATCTTGATTAATAACACTTCCATACACTTCCCGATGATGAGGTTTTGCGATCCAACATGTGGTGTCTTTCCTGGGAATTTGGGTCAGTTTGTTGTGACGTTGAGTGGAGAACAAGGATCACAGTTTCTGTTCAATGCTGCGGAAGGGGTATTTGCCTCGTCTCTGCTTGCCTTGATGAGACGACACTTTGGTGTTGTCTCATGAGCAATAACCTCAACATTCTTCTTGGATTTCTTGGGATGATGTGTGGATACAAAGAGGTTGTACAATCTATCAACCAATCTATCAACCAATTTAGCCGTTCGGTTGAGTGTAGCTTTGCCGCCTGAGGTGTGCTTTCCTTCCACCTGAGCCACAATCTGTCGACCGAGTTTCACTGGTCCGGAACTCAGGGAGTTTTGGGTCAGCTGTAGCCATGACTTTAAGCAAGACTATCGATCTACTGTAACTTTGAGTCAGATCGGGTGGTTCCATGGAGAAAAAGTACCGGAGCAAATGAGTCAATCACATGTTTCCTTCACAACTTGGGCATTGCGGCATACTTGTTCAGAGGAAGCCGACCTGTGGGGCAGCCTAGCATGGCAGTTGCACTACAGGAACATGAACCAGCTCTTTCTCTACGTCGTTGCCACCTACAACGACACAGAAGCGAACAAGAGGAATGAGGCCTTGGTTTCCTTGGAACTGGGCGGAGAGATCAAAATAGTGGTGGCCTGTCACCATCAATCCAGTTCTGAGAAGAAACGACTGTTTTCTTGAATGGCACACCCTCCGTCCAACAAACATGGAAGTGGATGGCATGGGCTCTTGGAAGACTGGAAGACTGTTTTCCTCTGCAAACCGGGTGGTGAACTCCACGCAACCATGCATTGTTTCAGGGAGGGGGACCGCTGTTCGCACGCACGCACTTGGCAGGTGACCATCTATGTGCGGCACTTGGCCGGTGGATCGCCGCCGGTGGATCGCCGTCACCGGTCCGTCCGCGGTTGGACCTGAAGCGAGGTCGATGAAGCCCAAAGACACCAGACAGCTGGAACACACCCGGTGTCGCGCCTCTCAAAACCCTTCCACCAGAATGGCCGCGGAGAAGAAGGGAAGCTACTTTGATGTTTTTTCCACCACATGCATCATCTGAACTTATACATCCTTCAAGATTATATAATATAGCCAGAATATGCTAGAATTTACTGCTCGGTGTCCTTTTCTATTCAATGCGCATCAAATCCGCACAATTGAAGGCCCTGAGGGATTCATCACAGAGACATCCTGCTTCTGATGATGTGAATTTGTCAATGTTGTAACGATGAGTTCCTTTATCCTGAGTGTGTGAGTTCGTAGTCATGGGTCGCAACCAACCAACGAGGTCATCTCTTCTCAACGGATGCTTAGGACAAGATCATTCGAAGCCCAGAAGCTGCCCTCTACAAGCAAAAGCCGGGGGTGCTTAGCCTGGTCTGGGGTCTGGGCCAGGGTCGTCGTCCGTGGGCCCGACCACCTCCGCTGGAACGGGACCTTTTGGAGGATTCACCGGGTCTCCCCAACAGCCCCGTCATGGGAGGCTCTGCAAACACAAAAGGGTGGACCCGGCACTTTTCAATGACACATCCAATGAAAGCATACAACAAATTCGGGGAAGCCCAGAAAACCAGACAGCCCTTCTTGGTGGCGACTAGCTAGCTGGTTCAAGCTGGTTTCTGACAATAGTCCCACAGTTTGAGGAGGGGGCTCCGGCTGTCATTTTCTCATTGCGTTGTTGAGAAAGGCAAGACCTTAATTGATCTAGATTGAGCTAGTGTTTTCCATATCCTCTTTTACATCTTTATTGTATGGTTTTCTATTTCCGGGCATTGCGTTGTGTCATCTCTTGCCATTTGTGACCACTTCCTCGCCAGACCTCGCCCTCGCCAGACCTCGCCCTGCAGGAACCTCATGATTGAGTATCCTTTAAGAGACCAAGTGCGGGAACTTCGGGGTGAGAAGGTCGGCAGTGAGGGCGACGGCGGTGTCCTGCCACGCGCGAAGAGAAGGCGTCCCACCCGATGTTCAGGTCAGTGATTGGCAGTGTCAGGGCCTGACACCTTCGAGCGATTGAACGATGTTGAAAGGAATGCGGATTGGTATGCAAGCTTGGGTTTGGCTCAGCATCTGTTTTTGTGAGTGCCCATGCAAGCCTAGCTGAAGTCAAAGGAGCCTCGACTCTACTGTCGATGTTTGCCGTGCCCGACCATTTTTAAGGAGACGATGGTGGTTTCAGATATCTTTGTGTTCAACCTTTGCTTGGGAGGAAAAACCCACTGACCCACTGACATATGTGTTGTTCGTGAGTTGAAACCACCAACCAGAAGGGTCTCCCCGCCAGGTCCGACTCCACGTCCGCTATCGGACGATGCCCATCGTGGGCTTGATGTCCGGGACGCCCGGGACGGTGCAGGTGGGGGTGGATGGGGTGTCGATCCTGGTTGAAGTTGGCTTGTTCCTTCCTGGGGTTATGGCACAGTTATGGATGGTGGGAACTTGGATGGGAAACTCTCTTCTTCTTGGACAATATGCGGATGGGGTTTCTTTGATGATGTGTCCATGCAAACACTCCGTCCCAAGCAGTCTTGTGATGCAAAGAATGGTTCCCATGATATTCATGGTTGTTTTGGCTCCAGATTTGGGCAATCCCTTTTGAGGGAAGACTCCAGCACCTGTGCACGTGATTTGGGTGCCAACTACAAGCATTTTGTGACAATGTGGATCGTTTGGGTCTTCAGGCGTTGGATAGGCATCCATTGGATCCAGTGAGAGTTTAGCGACTTGAGTCGCGAACTTCCTTCCTCACCTTCATAGTTGCGGGAATGAGTTGATACATTTACAGTACATTTACCAAGTATGGATCCGTTTGTGAGTGGCTGGAGCATCTTTCAGTGTATTTAGCAACTGCTCCAAGTGCTGATGGAGGAGGTCTAGAGTCCAGTTATATCTTGCTTTTCGCTATTTAATAGAGACCCAACGTTCTTCTATCAGAATTCGCCCCTTTTTCCCGCATGGGCCCGCTTCCCCCGAGCAGTTGAACCGGATTTCGATCGAAGGCGCCGAAACCCCCTTCATTCAAGGCACGAGAAAGAAGTGGCCACCGTTGATTTCGAGGCTGAAGAGACCCCCCCTTTTCGGGGACGGTGTCGTCCGGTGCGTGTGAAGCTATACCATGGAGTGTTACTTCAAGTCATGCCGGTGAGAGTGATGTTTTTTTTGTACTGAGGATGTCCCTTTTTCCATTGTGTTCCTGATGTTTTCATCTGAGCTTCTGAAACTGGTTTGTGGCGAACCTCTTTGCACCCACTCTTTGGAAGTCAGATGGGGCCAAGGGCACTTCCCCAACAAATGTGTTGCCGAAAAGGCAAACGGGTTCCTCCGAAAAAGGATGCCGGTGAGAGTATGTAAATGCAGCGGTAGGTATTCGCGGCATGCCGCTTAGCGACTGGAATTTCGTTTGAAATGAGGTTCCTGGAGATTTGTAGTTGCCACTTCGATTCAGGACGAGCTCCTTCTCTCAAGTGAGAGTATGTGGCCCGTCTTGTTGCTGGTCTCTGCATGCACTTGCCAGCCGCAGCAACAGCAAGGCTCACGTCTGGCCATGTTCCAAGGCACCCATCGCTGTTGCCCGCTGGTCGCGCTGGTCTGCGCGTTCGTCACACTGGTCGCTTCGATGGTAGCTGGTCAGGTAGCTGGTCTGTTCGTCGGATCATTGGCAGCGGCAGTAGGTCGGGTCTCTCTTTCTTCGATTTCCCAAACCGGTCGGACCGGTTGGACCCGTTGGACCGGTTGGACCGGTGAATCGCCATGGCGAGTAAGCGCTTGTCGGTGACCGCGGTGCAGTCCTGGGCAGAGGCAGGAGTTGGGGGGAGCTGATGGGAGCTGTATGTATGATCCACGTCGAAGTATTTATATAGCTTCTACAACACGTTTAGAGACACCACAGACACCACACCCTTTCGGTTAACTCGTTTGATTGATCAGACGGACAAAAAGACCCTGGAGGTCGAGATGAACTTGAGGCATCAACCACTTCCCAATACCCTTGTCCAGACACCTAAGTTCCACCAGTTCCCAGTGGCTGATTTGGTGAAGCAGACGCAGTACCCCAAGGTTGCGCTTTGCTTTCCTGCCCCAAAGAGACATCTTTGTTGACTGCATGGTTGACTTTCTAGGCAGGTCTGACAAGGTTGACTTTCCGATTTCCTATGAAATCTGATCACCCTGCAGTTTGCGGAACACACATGAGGTAATCAATCCTGTCATTTTTTTCAGCAGTTTCCAAGGTGTCCAACTCTTGGCATTTGTTCTGTTCATTTGTCATCTAGATATATCTGGACATATCTAGACTCTCGGTTGAAAAGAACTTGGAATCTCCCGGTCTAGAGTCCAGATGCCAAGATACAACCAACGACAAACACCTTAATTTAGACTCCATCCCGTGGCCAGATTTTAGGCTCTTAGTGGTTGAGCGTGTTGAATCAAATGTAGACTCAGCCTGTGACCGATGACTAGCCAGACCCCCGTGGCAGGCCTTGTGGCAGCTTCGGCGGGCCGTGGACGGGCAACTGCCCGTCGGGGGACCTGTCCAAGATGTGCAAGACAGTTGACTGAACGGCAGGGATGAAGATCCACTTCTGATCGCTGGTTGGAGCTTTCCACCAGATCTTGACAGACCTGGTCGTGGAAACCACCTCCGAATCCATGGGTCTGAGTGGCACCACTTCCCGAAGCGAAGTGGCTTAAGATGGCTTAAGCCTCTGGCCACCCGCTCAACTTGTAACTCTCAAAGATGCATGTCCTCTAAAAGGGCACTAAACGGACAAGCAGTTGCCCGTCCATAGCAGGCAGGATTAAGGTGCAAACAAGCCTTGTAGCGCAGCAGCACGATGGCAATCAGCCTAGATTCTGCACACATTTTTGTGCGAACCCTGAGGGCAGGTAGCCGATCAGGACTGCATGCACACACTGAACACCCACTGAAAAGTGCATCTACAGACGGCCCATGCACGGCCCATCTCGTGTACCATGCCTGCTCCGCCCATCCACTATGCCATCGGAAATGCTCGGCGACTTGGCCGATCTGCTGGGCTGGGCGTCGGATCGGCGGGATGCACCGAAAGGGTTCGACACCTGTAGACCGCGCACAACAAATCCAGGTGGGATGAGTGCCGGCAGCTGCTTTTGGAGGCGCCCCACCTGGTCGCCCAGCGCGGGCGTAGCGGGGCCACGGCGCTGGTGCAGGCGCTGCGGCAGGCGGCTCCGGTGGACCTGGTGGAGCTAATGCTCAGCTCGCCGGAGGCAGCTCAGGCAGCCAAGGCCGGGAAGCGGTGGTGGCCGGGGGGTGACCGGGAGGTGCTCGCTGTTTTTGGGGCTTCCGTTCCCTTTTTTTGGGCTTGTCCAAAGTGCTGGCTATGGGGGAACTGAAAAAGAATTTGGGATGTTAAACGATCTGTTTTCTGGGCGTCATTGGAGTAGGAGGAGTTCTTTCTGTGTTGAAGGGAGAAATCATGCTTCAGGCTGAATGTGCACCAGTGGGTAAATGACATATGTTCCAACAACTATCAGGGATTGATACTCTAGTGTCAACCGCAGGATGTGGGGGAGAGAGGGGGCGTTTCAGTGTAACTGGAGAAGAAGGCCTTGTTGTTTTGCCAAACAAAGAGCGCCGCGTTTCGCATGTTCCCACTCGAGGAAATGCATACATTTGGATGTTGGGAAGGTGGAGGCCCAGGCCATTGTTTCTAGGTTGGAGGCCATCGCTACTAGACAGCTTTTGCAACCTATACCTACCATATTCTGATCTTCTCCTTCATTTCCCCATTCGGACACCGCAGTCGTCGCTGAGTTCCTCCACCGAAAACTCTCGAGGCGCGGGTGCGGCACCAAACCGCAGCAGATGTGGCGGAGGAGCGATGTACATCTCTCGGCCTGCTCCAAGTGCCGGTTGGTTGAGCCAAACAGGGCTTGGGTTTTGGGGTAGGCAGACTGTCCATGGTGGCTGTGAACCGCTGGGTGCAGGAGCTCAAGCTGGGTGAAGACTTGGTGGCACGCTTGCGGAGACTTGAGAGGCTGGTGACTTTCCTGCTGTGGCGGGGAAGGAGCTCCCCCATGAAAATCAAGGTCTTTCCCGGGAAACCAACCCTGCAATTCCATGAAACAAACAACTTTGAAAAGCTTGGAGTGGCATACTGGGCCTTCACCTGCCTCTACAAAGCTGCTAGCTGTGAGTGCCCATGCTTGGGGTAGCATTTTTTTCTTCTTCAAATTGTGGCGACACTGCCGTAGTGAAATCCGATCCGTCACGTTCCTTTTTTTGGGGGCAGCATTACAGTGAAGCTGGTCTTGATGATGGAGAAAAACCGTGTTTGATCGTATTTGACTCATATATAATATACATGTTTCGTCATTGTTCAATGTGGATTCTTTTGGGGTGTGCATGTTTAGTAGGGAGACCCCTCAACAAACCACGCAAACATGGTGTCCCTTGTGGCCTTGAGAAACAGGGATGTTGAGGGCCTTCAGCTTGAACTCCGGTCCCACCCTGCTTCCACCTGCCCCAGCTGCTCTACGCCAGGTCCGTGCCAGACAGCCCAGGGAAGCTCCGCTGCCCCAGTTGTGGCGACGAGGTGATGAAGCGCAGCCAGCTCACAAGGCTCCGCGCCTCGGTCGGGAAGATGGACGAAGGGCAGGGTTGAGGTGCATGGACGATGGAGGAACCAGCTGTTCTTTTGGATGGAGGAACGAGCCCCAAAGGCTGATGTAAAACACCCCTCAAATCGTGAGCTTCATGAAGGTTGAGGCGTGGGTGTACGTGCGTGAACCTGTCTCCCGAGTAAGGACAGGTGCGGGCCGCCTATTCCTGTCCTGCATCGTTTCGCTCGGTACCCGAGGCGAACGCGTTGAGGCCGGCGAGGAGGAGAACTGCTTGGTAAGGGACTTTTTCGCAGCTCGGATCGTGAGTCTGGTTCTGAACATGGTGAACACCCCTTAAAAGCTATGCATGGGAGATGATGGCTCCACCTATTGAAAGTGGTCTGGGATAAGAAGCCTCTTGTTTAGGTGCAGAAGTTTGATCAACCTTATCATATCACCTCCCAATTCTACATGGTTGGTATTTCATTATCGGGTCATATCGGATCCACTTATCAATCAGTGAAATTCTCGTCAAGAGATCACGTAGGTGGCATTTGGTTCGTAGATCATCAGCCGTTTTGTACAGAACCGCTAACTGAGGTGGATTTGCCTGTCGAGATCCTGGAAGAGCGTCTTGCGCTGCACCGAGCGGCCAACTGCCACAACTTCCGACAGGTGCCCGGTGGAACACGGAGGGCAACGCTGGGAGTTTCAGTCAGCTGGGTGCCAGTCACTTGGTGGCTTGGTGGGCAGAGCCCCATCAACGAGGCTTCTAGGTGTGCAGGAATTGTTGACCGTGGCATGCGAATGGACCACAACATTGCTGTTCCCTGTTTTTGAGACCGAGGCCACCGCCGGCCCACGGTGGGTGATCTAAAGCCTCTCAAAGGGCCCCGACGACAGAGCGGTCGGTGAACCTCTGCGACAGAGCGGTCGGTGGCTTGGGAGGTGCGAAAGCAGGCTTTGGCGTGAAGTGCTTCCAAACGGCTGGGCATGCTGGGCTTCTGAGATTGAAGACCAGACCAGTCACCCCTCCGGAAGGTTCTTCCCAAGATTCAGCACAGTAATTGGCTTGGACTTGGGCTGGGGTGCTTTCTCCCCGTCTCAGGAGGTGTCGGAGACCATGGCTGTGCTGAAGGCTTTGGATTTGCTGTCCACCCCGCAGGCGCTCATAGTTGATTTGCTGCTTTTGTCCGTGTTGGTTCATGAGGCTGTTTGGGATGTTTTTTGGGATCCCTCAAGTTGCCTCTGCAACTGGATTTGGTGCCTCAAAGAACTACCTGTTGAGAGTGCGTGATGCACACTGTGAGGTGCAGAGCGATTTCACACGTGTCCCGCCGTCAATGTGTTTTCTAAGGTTTTCTTGGTACTCCCAATTTGAAACACATGCTGAGCTCTTGGGTTATCCGCCCCCCACAACCACAACCACAACCACACACACACACCGTTATACATCGTTATACCGCTTCCCCTTCAAAATCAGTGCTGATCCCTCAGGGTGATCCGGGATGCTGCAGATCACCCATAGTTTTAGGCTGCTCCTGTCATCGGGTGTGCTTCTTTGCCGACCCTGAAAACCCCCAAGGGTTGCACCCTATCCGCCCTAGCCTCGCCTGCAAGAAGCGAGTCAAACATCCAACATCGCCGCACGGTCCTGGTTCCTGCGGGATCCCTGGCTGAAGCCGTCCGCGGCCACCGGGACCTCTGAACCTCCCCATCGCTCGAGCAAGTTCACCAGGAGCTGCACGTGGTGGATCTCTGCAGCGGTAGTGGCCTCACCAGTTGCGCGCTGGGCCTCCGGAACGCGCGGGTGAAGGCCGTCACTGCGGTGGATCTGCGGCCACCGCAGGCGGGGTGGGCGGATGTGGCGAGGCGTGGAGAATGGGGAGGTCGTTGTGGTGTCGGTGTGAAAAAGGTCGTTTGGGTGATGGGAAAAGGTTCATGGCATGGTGGGGGAGGAGACTATAGTGACAGTTTATAGTGACTATAGTGGTGATATGTGGTGATGAGTGACTCACTCAATTTGCGTCATCTAAAGCGTTGGGCGGCCCGATGAGGGCATGGCCCATGGCTTGGCATCGGGCCCGGCATGCGCTGCATGGCTTGGCTTGGGACGTCTCGAGACCCATCAGAGAGCAGTGACAGCAGAGAGCGGACACGGCAGGAGCTTCACCCAACTCAGCCATTTGGTTTCATTGAGAAAGGACAGAGCTGGCATAGCCAGCTCTCTCCAGCTCTCTCCAGGTGCTCCAGGGAGCTTCCCTTTCAGAACGCGTCCTGGATTCCCATTCCGTGCCTTCGGCGCTGCCATTCGGCGCCCAACTGCCGTTGGGTTGTCATGGACCTTCGACGCCCTTTTGGAAAGCGAACCAACAGCCCAGTGGAAGCTCGAACGGCTGTCATGTGGCAGGACATGTTTTTTTCTTTTTTTTTTCAACTTATTTTTTGGTTGGAGTTGTTCACTAACGCGTGTGTATGCGCATGCATATTTGATATAACATGATATAACTTATGACTCTACTTCGACAATGACGGACATGAGGAACTCACTCACACTTGATGAAACTTCCCATGTATCCCGTTGGTTTCATCTTGTCAAGAAGCCATAACTCAGCCCAAAACAGTGCGTTTTTGTTTCAAGTTGACGCTTTGTGGTCAGACCGATGACAATCGTATTGGTTTCTTCGTTTCAAGTTGGTTATTGTCCACCACCTTTAACGAAAGACGGCACGCACAAAACCAGCAGGTGATGCCGCACTTCCAAGAGGCACAACGAGATGTGGAGATGTCGGGTCTGCCCGAGGAGAAAGATCTTTTTGGGGCAGTCACCCATATTTAAAGGAGGTCATAGATTTGTGCATGTTCCAGGCTTTGACATACATGGTAGGCAAAAGAATCCAGCGGATCGTGCAAAACAGGTATAAACGCGGTAGGTATGAACATATATTCAGAAGACCACCTCTTCTTCTTGGGATATGTACTGTGTACTGTATACCTATGTTGTGGTCAACATGGCGCGGATCTTCTCGCGAGGGGTGCGGGTTCCTTGTGTTGATTGCTGGGGAAGGACGTTCTGAAGGAGGGCGAAAGACTGGATTCATTTGTTTTTGGAACCATGAACTACTACGAGTCGTCAAGTACAAACTGCAAGATTTTCAGCCTCCGGAGTCGAAACCTTTGAAAGATTTCCTTGATTTGTTCGAACCGGCATGAACATGTCTTGAGCACCTCACCTGTGGCCATTTGTCGCTTGCCTCGAACACAGGAATTCCTTCGGCCAAGGTTGGTTGAAACCAACCACGTGCTACCGTGGACCGCCTCCGCCATAGGAGAAAGCAGCGCCGAGCAGCTTTTGGTTGGGACGATCATCGGATCGTCGAGAACGTTTGATTGTTTGCACTACACCCTTGTAGAGGTCTTTGAGATCCCCTTTGTTTGGTGCTAGCTTTAGGCTACCAGTGCGGTCCTTGCATTGGTAGCGGAGCCTGGCGGTTTTCGTCAGGCTCCAGGAGCGACAGGGACCTTTGGAAAGCTCTCCTTCCAAAGGCACTACTTCATTGAGGAGACCCTTGAGATTGAGCCATTCGACTACAAGAACGATAGGAGAGCATGACAACAATGTCAGCAAAGGAGATTGTGGTGTCCTGGGACGGAGAACCTTCGACCTGGGCGGACTACTGCCGCAAAGTTCGCCTTCAATTTGAAAAGACACCACGAAAGAAGAGAAGCCTTCTTGGACCGGAACTTGCATCCAGACTCACTCACAAGGCATGGACGGTGACTGCCGAACTGGACCACTACAAGTTGTCCAAGAAGAATGGTGTAAAGTACCTCCTGATGTTCCTGAAGGAGAAACTATGCAGAACGGCAGTTCCTGATGCCGGAGCCAGATTAGAAGAACTCCTGATCAAATTGAGACGCCCGCTTGGCATGGGCATGGCACAATGGTCTGCCCTCCTTCTCGACAGCTATCGCAAGCTGCAGAGATCCCTGGTGAGAGCCCGGCAGCAGACGAGGAGCTCTCCTAAGGAGACTACAAAGGCTCCATCAAAACGATCGGAGTCGGAACCTCATGCTGAACCTCCTTCCCCTACGAGATTGAGGAGCACCGGGGCACGAACGCCTACATCAGTCCAACATGGTGGAGAAGGAGATGGAGATCAGGACAAGGCATCCTCCCATCACCCTGAGGGAGGTGAAGATGGCTATGAACAGTTGGATCAAGAAGGACTGATGCAGAATGGAAAGCCTGGTATCTCGACCAGGAAGAGGAAGAATCCTCGGAGGATGATCTTCCGTGGGATGAGCTTGAACAAGAAGCACCTGATGTTCTCCCACCTGAGATCCTTGGTTGGCTTCTCCTTCGACGAGCCAATTTGAGCAGTGCTGCACGGCTTTCAGTTCAGGCTTCAGTGCAAAACTCCCTGAACTTCGAAGCAATTGAGAAGGCCCTACGAGATCAAGAAGAAGAGCTACTTCAAGGAGATTCTCTTCGGCATCAGCATGGCCGTGGAGCGAAGAGGACCTATTGGGTCGAAGAAGAAGGACAATGGGGCCTGATGACCACGCCTGAAGAATGGCAAGATGAGCCAAGTCAAGAGATCATGTGGGTAGGAGCTCAGCTACCTGCTGAGGTCTACAAGCCCTCAAGCTCCCTCTATGAGGACGCCGAGGACGATGGCATCTTCTGGAACTTTGAGGATGATGGATGGCATGGCTACTGTCAAGACCATTTTGGTCAATGGCTGGAGACTGACGGCTCTGGCGTGTTCTGGAACTATGAGGAGCCCTCTGACCTGTCGCCAGAGCAAACTAAGGAACTAGAAGAAGCCTACAGCGCCTATGAGAACAAAGCCCGATCCTTTCAGCAATCTCGCATGTTCACCAAGGCCAAGGGCATGAGTCGTGGCTTCTATCCTCTCCACATGAAGGGGAAAAGCAAAGGGAAGGGGAAAGGAAAGAAAGGCAAGTTTTCAAGACCTATGTCTTCAAGCAGTACCCCTTCCTCTCCGAGCAAGATCCTACAAGCAGAAGAAGTCATGGCCACGACAGGCATGGGACAAGGCTGCTTCATTTGTGGTGACCATGGTCATGGTTTCCGCCAGTGCCCAAAGCGCACTTCCAATCCACCTTCAAGCAAGGGTGGAAAAGGTGGAAGTCTCTTCATGGTTGAAGGCCTTGCGACGGTCTACATGGTGGAACCTGGAGCTCGCTTGGTGAGTGACATGGCGGGCTTTGGTGTTTTAGATTTGGGGGCCACCGAGACAGTGGGCTCGCTTGAGGCAATTGAGCAAGTGCTTCAAAAGCGCTATGAGCTCACTGGCATCCAGGACAAAGTCCAAGTCCTTCCTCATGGACGCAAGATGTTCAGGTTTGGAAATGGTAGCCTGCAAAGTTCAGAAAGCTATTTGCTTCTGCCCCAGCACGTCGGAAAGCAAGATGTCCAGCTTGGGATTTTTACTTTGATGGCCAACAAGGTTCCTATTTTGATTGGCATGAAGACCCTCACCCGTCTTGAAGTCATTTTGGACGTGGCCGGTGGTTGGTTAGTGATGACCGCAATTGAACCAACAATCAAGATTCCTCTTTTTCGCAATACAGCTGGACACCTTGTGATCGACTTGACAAGGGATTGGATGGCACAAGGCCGACCCTTACATCCCTCTGACGAACCACAACCAGCTGAGAGTGCATATATGGTGCTGCCTGCTGAAGACGTGTCATGTGTTGAAGAAGGTGAAGGTCAAGGTTTGAGAGTGCACACCAACCACATGCCGTTTGCAGTTGAGGTCATGAGCAACGAAGTTTTTGAGCAAGCATGTCGTGAACAGCAACCTCTCCCTTCTTTTTCGTCTTCAGAGCCCTCGCTTCCTTTTGTTTTGACAAGCAGTGCAGTTGTGAGTCATGAAGAACATGATTGTGAATGTCATCATGAGTCAGCTGTTTTGATGTCTGATGATCATGGACTTCACCCTATGGCATCTTCAACTCAAGAGATGAGGGACATCATCCTTCAAGCGCTAGCTTCGGCACGGTCGTGGGCGGAGCATCATGTCGCGCGCCACCACCAGCGGCTATCCGAAGGCCGAAGCGAAGTCAAAGAAGAAGACTCCGGCTCCAGCAAGCGAGAGGTTCGACTACTCTCGCACGCAGCCGATGAACGTTCAAGATCCCCGAGCGGAAGGAGCACCTTGCTGGGGACACCACGTGGTGGCAGCTCCCGGTCCGGGATCGGTGACCGGATCCAACAAACATGCGACCTGGGAAGGTTGCGAGGTGTGCCACCTACGGCTGAGCTATACACCAGCCTATGGTGCCCACGGCTTGACGAGAGCCGCAGGTCCCCTGGCCAAGGATGTCGAGCGACAACTGGAGAAGGTTCCTCCCAACGAGCAGAAGAACAGCATCCATCTCAAGGACAAGAAGATTGCTCTGGACGGAGCCGAAGAATCCCTGCTCCAGAAGCTCGACGAGGTGCAGCAGAAGAAGAAACAATGGCAGGAGACTCAAGATCGAAAGGCACCGTCGCCAGTCAAGGCGAATCCGGCAACTCCAAAGAAGGCATCCACTTCGACCTTGAGCTCTATGACGCGGAAGACTCGGAAACCCGAGGAATCGGCCGAGCAACACGAGACCTCGGCCCTACAAGAAGAGGATGCCCAATCTTGGGCAGAAGTGGAGAGCCCGGACCGTCCATGAAGCGGCAGAGGACGAAGGCCGAGTTTTCACATTCTACCTCAGCGGCTGCATTGGCTGTTGAGAGGATTTCACCAAGAATTCAGAATTTTGAGAACGCCAATGGCTATGAGGCGTGTGAGAAAGGAATGCCTGATGACAACGACACCTCAAGTGGCTCGGAGAACCACGAGACCTTCAATGACCCAGATCGTGTCCACTACACCGCTGAAGACTATGAGGTCATTGAGGATTTGCACGACACCTACGAGTTTGAGGTGAAAGATTTGATGGCTGCCATTGGACTACATCCCGAACGGTCAGCGCCGACCGTGATTGAATTGTGTTGTGAGGAAGACAGCATCATCTCACAGACAGTCATCGCCAATGGAGGACAGGCCTATCGCTGTGGACTACACAACGGCTTTGACATCCTCACCGAGCAGGGAGTGCAAAAGGTGATCCACCTGATAGAAGATGTGCATCCTGATCTTCTATGGGTTTCATTTCCCTGTGGCCCAACGTCTTCCATCCAGGAGCTGAACATGCTGACTGAAGAAGGCCGCAAGAAGATCCAAAAGAAAGTTCAAAGGTCAAAGAAGTTGGTGACCAATGGCATCCGCATCATGGAGACCCAGATTGAAGCTGGTGGTGATGTGGTGCAGGAATGGCCTCTTGGAAATCGAGCGTGGCATTTTGCTTCAATCCGCCATTTCTGGAGGCGCCGAGAAATAGATGGCCAACTTCATGAAGCCCGAGTTGACGGATGCAGCTATGGTTTGAAGGTGGATGATGGCTACCTTAAGAAGCCCTGGTTGCTACGTGGCACTACACCTTTGATCTGGAACATGGCAAAACGATGCCCTGGCAACCACAAGCATGTTCCCTGCGAAGGTGGTCAGAGAACAAGAATGTCAGCCTTCTACCCAAAAGCAATGGCCAAGAGAGTTTGGCACCTGGTTCGCATGATCTACGAAGAAGCAACTCGCTGGCGACCAGAAGCACAAACTGCCTGGTACCTTGATGAGATTGACGAGAACCAGGTGATGGCACTACATCCTGAAGGTGATCCTGCTTCACTTCGAGGGAGCACTGATGAAGAGTTGGTGCGCTGGGCTACCAACCTGCTGAAGCTCCATCAAAAGCTTGGTCATCCTTCCAGCCAAGCATTTGTTCGCATGCTGCGAGATCGTGGTGCCACCAAGAAGATGCTCACCATCGCTGGCAATCTTCACTGCATGGACTGTGAAGAAGCTCGAATGCAGAATCCCAAACAAACTCCAGTGACACTGGAAACTGCTGAAAAGTTGTGGGAGACCATCCAAGTGGACAATGCCGAGTTCACCTACGGCAACAAGGTTTACCACTGGCAGCTCATTGTTGATGAAAGCAGCGGTTATGCAGTCGCCTCGCACTTGAGCACCCATGATTTGAAGGAATCCTGGAGCCCCTCCACCAAGGAAGTGCTGCAGAGCCTGATGAAGTCTTGGGTGCAGTACTTTGGCTATCCACGCCAAATCAAAATGGACAAGGAGGGAGCTCATCGAGGCCGCGACCTAGAAGAATGGGGTGACAAGAATGGCGTTGAGCTCATGTTCGTTCCTGCTGAAGCTCATGGGCAGATCGGGAAAGTGGAGAGCATGATTGGCCGCCTGAAGTACATGCTCGATCGTCACCTCCGAGGTCAAGAAGATGATCCTGTTGCAGCAGCATGGCATCTCATTGCAGCTCACAACAACCTCTACCGCAAAGGAGGTTACAGCCCATCACAATGGGTGTTTGGCAAGGAGATGACAGACTCCTACCGTCTTCATCAAGGATCAGATCTTCCTTTCTGGGCTTCTGTGAACTTTGACAGCAAGTTCCAAAAGCAACAGGAGCTGAGGCAAGCTGCCGAAAAGAAGTATAAGGAGCTGGCGGACTTGGAAAGACTGAGCAAGGCGACCAACATGAGGAGTACACCTCCTAGCCACTTCTACCCTGGCGACTTGGTCTTCTACAAGAGACATCAAGCACCTCGAGAAGGTCGATCACATCAGCTTTTGGATGTGCCAAGACGCCAAGTGGCTCGTTGGTATGGCCCCGCCAGGATCCTTGGCTTAGAAACCAAAGTCACCTACAACGGGAGCATTCGTCAACCTCACCGCATTGCTTGGGTGATTAGCCAAGGAAGATTGAAAAGAGTCCACACAGATCAGCTACGCCACAGCTCTGAGCGAGAGAGGCTCACCAATGAGCAGTTCCATGATGTGCTGGCAATGCCATGGACGTTTCAGGACATCTCCAAGGCATTGAACTATGGATCCTATGATGATTTGGTAGAAGATCCAAGTCTTCGTCAAGGGCGACCACATCTTCGGCGCACTCAGCGCTCTCGAAGTCGAGCGAGAGGAGGTCAGAAGAGGAAAGGAAAAGAAGATGCTGCTGAGCATCCGGAAGATGAAGAAGCACCTCCGATACCAATGGATGAATACTCTCCTTCGGAGCCGCCGAGACCAGAAGAAGAAGACGCAGAAGATCAATCAGATCTCCTACCTCATGAGGAGATCGATGGTGAGCGCCTAGCAATGGACCCTCAATACTTTCCATTTCCTCCACCTGTACAAGGTCCACTCTTTGAGCATGAACCTTTCCTTCGTGCCCGTCAACGACATGAACAACTGGAGAGGCCTCAACATGTCCAGAGAGAAGAATTTCTGAGGAGTCAAGCTGCTGCTTCATCGGATCCGCCTCAGACAAGAAGCAGATCTCCCCATGGACCTTCGTCACCTGTGAACTATCTCACCGCTGAGGACGATGAGAACTTGGTCTTCAGCGTGATGCTGCCGGAGCCGGCAACGGAGGCAGAGTGGCGGGCCATTGTTAAAGACCCCAGCAAATTCATAGCAAAACGTGTGGCCAAGGGGGTGGAAGTGTCTTGGAGCAAACTCAATGCTGCACAGCGCAAAGCCATGAAAGAGGCCAAGCAGGTCGAGATCAAGGAATGGATCACCAGCCACGTTTGCAAGGCTGCAATTGGCCATGTGGATCCCTCGCGCATTATGCGCATGAGATGGGTCTTAGTGTTCAAGGCCGCTGACAAAGGCCAAGTCAAGGCCAAAGCAAGAATCGTGATCCTGGGTTTCTCTGACCCTGATGTCGGCCTCATCAACACGAAGTCTCCAACTATGTCCCGAAGAAGCAGGCAACTGTTGCTACAACTCTGCACTCACCGAGGATGGCAGCTTCTCAAGGCGGACGCCAAGGCCGCATTTCTGCAGGGTGACTCCAATCAACAGGCACGTGGCATCTTTGGAGTTCCTGTGGAAGAGTTGCGAGAAGCAATGAACCTCCAGCAAGGTCAGGTGGTACAGATCATGCGTGCTGCCTATGGCTTGACAGTGGCCCCTCGTGAATTTTACCTGCATGTTGACAAGATTTTGCAGGGGCTTGGGCTGGAGCGATTGGTGACAGAACCCTGTTTGTGGCGTTTTCGGGCCATGGTCCAAGGTGAGCTCCGTACCCTTGGCATGATTGGCAGCCACGTTGACGACTTTCTCATTGTCGGCAACGAGCAGGACAAGAGATGGAGCCAAGTGATCGAAAAGTTTCATGCCTCCATGCGCTGGTCTCCGTGGGAGGTTCCTCCTCTCACGCATTGTGGTGTTGAGCTGCAACAGCTTCCTGATGGTGGCTGGAGATTGGACCAAGCCAGTTTCTGCAGTGAGCTCTCCCAGATCAAGGAGGATGGCAAGCACAAAGAACTGACAGCTCAAGAGCGCACTCAATGCCGCGCCATTTTGGGCGCTGTGCAATGGCGGGTCTATCAGACTGGACCTCAGCATGCTGCAAAGTTGGGACACCTTCAGTCATTGCTGAGCAAAGCAGACAGATCCATCATCCCTGAGGTCAACCGCCTTGTTCGTGAGGTGCACGGCCAGAAAGAGATCGGCCTGACGGTTCACCAGCTGTGTGCTGAGAAAGATGATGATTTGGTGCTGGTGGCTTGGAGCGACGCTGCATTGGCGAATCGTGCTGACCTCGGAAGCACAGGTGGCTTCATCATCGGCTTTGTGCACTGCTCCATGATGGATGATGGGGTGAGAGGACCAGTAAATGTCATGAGCTGGTCCTCCAACAAGCTGAGGAGAGTCTGCCGATCATCACTTGCCGCGGAAACGCAGGCACTGGCAGATGCAGAGCAAGAACTGATGTTCCTGCGCGTGCAATGGCAGGAGATGCTGGGTAGAGAAGTGGACATCACCAAACCAGAGGAGGCAGCAAAGCTCACCAGAGGAGCCCTGGTGATTGATGCCAAGGCATTGTTTGATGCTGCAAAGAATGGTTCCCTGCAGACGAGCGCCTTTTCCATGAAGGACAAGTACTCTGCGCTGGAAATCCTAGCTCTGGTGCAGAATTTGGAGAAGCAGGGCACTGAGCTCCGATGGTGCAATAGTGATGCCCAGCTAGCTGACGGGCTGACAAAAATGTCGGCACAAGATCGGCTGAAGAAGTTCCTGATCGGAAATCAGATTTGGAACCTTTGTTATGATGAGAAGTTCACCAGCGCAAAGCGCTTGAGAAGGCAGGCCCGAGAAGATGAGGCCCAGGACATCCAATGGATCGACCTGTTGGCTAGGAGCTCAAGACACTCACATGACGGTTTCAGGGGTGTGCAAGATTTTCAGCCTCCGGAGTCGAAACCTTTGAAAGATTTCCTTGATTTGTTCGAACCGGCATGAACATGTCTTGAGCACCTCACCTGTGGCCATTTGTCGCTTGCCTCGAACACAGGAATTCCTTCGGCCAAGGTTGGTTGAAACCAACCACGTGCTACCGTGGACCGCCTCCGCCATAGGAGAAAGCAGCGCCGAGCAGCTTTTGGTTGGGACGATCATCGGATCGTCGAGAACGTTTGATTGTTTGCACTACACCCTTGTAGAGGTCTTTGAGATCCCCTTTGTTTGGTGCTAGCTTTAGGCTACCAGTGCGGTCCTTGCACAAACAAACACGTGTTTTTTGTTCAAACTTTGTTTAAACATTTGCGGTTATCACAATACTATGGAAAGTGCGCCAGCGCTCGTAGCCACTCTTTCATGATTTAAGGAATTAAGACCCCATCCTGTGGGTCGTGTCCCGTGTAGCGCACTTTGCCAGCCTCCCCGACGTTCCAGGCAGGCCTTCCTCATGTCCGCTACCTGTGTCAAGATATGACCAAGCCAGGTGGATGAAGGGCTCATGCTGTCTTGGGTGAAAGAGTCTTGGGTTAGGCCAAATCTTTAGCTGCTAATCATCAGAGAACGAGCTTGCGATGGCCCATCGCTTGCTGGAGCCAACAAAACCAGAGGTTGGACAGGAGTTTCAGCATCACAGTTCAACAAATTGCGCGAGTTTTGCAGTTCAGTATCGCAAGACATTGTTGGAAGAGACTGCGCTTACACACTCATGGTGTAAGCGCAAATTTGACCCGACACAACTGCGTATATCACAGCCAGCTTGTTAAGCCAGAAGGCAAAAGGTCATGGGCCATAGACCGAAGAAGATTTGATCTAGACCTTGAGTTTCCAGGCAGAACAGTGGTACGCCTCAAATACAAAAGCTGCGCCAGATCAATAAATGCATGCAGTGAATCGCATTCTTTCCAACTACCTCCTGCAAATATCAATTACTGCTTTGAACTTGGGGATTCCATTGGCTCGCGGGTGATCTCTGCACATCAACTCCTCGATCCGAATTGTGACATGCAGAGCAAAACCCCGGGGCGGCCACGCAAAGCCATACGCAAAGTCACGCAGCGGCCCGAGGTGGCTTAGCGGATGGAAAGCAATTGTGGATCAAAACCCGATGACCCCGGTTCACCACCGAACATGAACAGACTATATGACTGGTCACCGGCAGCCAGGGACTGGATGGTCACCAAGAGACCGGCGCGTTGCGCCGAAGTAGTCTGTCCCCCAGGGCCGTCCCCCAGGGCGGTCACCAGTGCGGCGCACTGCCCGGGCAGCGACGCCGTCACCGGGCAGTGCAGACATCCACGCCGTTTTGAAGCTGGACCTCGTTCAGCCGACGACGTCCACCATCAGCCGACACCCGGTGGATCACCGCCGTCTGCGGATCCCTTTTCCGCGTCCGGACGACGAGACTCCGTCGCCCCCAGTTCGGCCCCTTCCCTTTGGTTCGGCTCATCGGAACGCATGGCACGTGCAGCTGTGCTCTAGCACATTCCACCAAAAATAATTCATGGACCAGTAGCACATCCATCTGCAGTCTACTTTAGACCATTTGTCGCAGAAGCCTCCAACTGCTTCGATGATGCCAGGTTTCTTTGCTGCTCTGGAAGGCCTCATAGTAGAGGCTGGCCTCTTTGACGCGCAGACATGGATTTTCAGAATGAGAAACATTCAGACAGTTTGGGCTTGACATTGATTCGTTTTCACCATGAGGAACCAGCAAGGCCTACCAGGGTACTCTGCATGGATGCTCGTGTATATGCCTAAAGACTTGTCCAGTGTACATCAGGGATGCGTTGTGACAAACATCGTTCGTTTTTTGCAGCCCAAAAGCACCAGCATTCCAAAGCACCATACTGTCTGGTGAGGGTAAACAGTAATCCTGATCCTGAGGGTAAACAGAGCTTTTATAAGCAAGGAAGCATGCACCATCAACGTTGGATGACTTTGGACATTCAGAAAGACACAGTTTGAACCTTGACCTCCCGCTTGCGACCGTGCCTTGATCTGGCAAAGAAAGGGACCTAAATATACCTAAATAGTGGTTGACGAACCTTTTGGCGGATTGTAGGCCCCATGTAGGCCATCTGCATAGCCTCAGGCCTAGCCTCACACAGAAGACCCAGATGACCATCTCCGATTGGCTGCGGGGTCAACTGGAGGTGTCTTTGCCGGTGGTGCTGTTGGGCATGCATTGCTGTGGGGTCGTGGCCTCAAAAAATGGCGCCTAGAGGCGCACATAGAGATGTCTTCAGGCGATTGAGGACATAGAGATGTCTTCAACAGCTCACACAGAGGTGGACGATGAGATGTTAAAAGTTGATGCTCCATCATGACCGTGGCAAAAGAACAGAATTTGCATTTTTTGATGGCGGCAAAGACCTCCCTCTTGGTTTGAGACATACAGGCTTGGGTTATATTTCTGCAAGTTTCGGCTCAAATTCATCAGCGAGATGTAGTCGGGCCTTTTTATCCACGACAATGGCGAGTGGACGATGTGTGGGCTCAATCTGCGGATTGCTGATGCTCCTGGCGCTAGGCAAAGCCCGCGGGAGCTGATGTACATAGGGGATGTAGGTATCAGATTACCGACCCATGCCACCGCCTGACGAAACACAGTATACGTTTCACAGTATATGTGTCATGGCCTTAAAGGCATTTGCAATGGCTCGTCTCTACAGACATGGCTGTCGAGTTGGCATGGCTTGTCATCGGGAGATTTTGGTAGAGCAGAACATTTAGTCGAGCTCCAGGAATGTTTCGGTTCACGACACTTACATATCGACCTATATAGTTACTATTCCGCGTCCATTGAAATTGTGGCTTGGCTTGCTTTGCTGCTGGTAGGCCACCGAGACATTGCATCTCACACTCCCTCACCCCTTTCTCTCTAGTGGGTGCAGAAAACAGTCTTCGTTCCATTTCTTCAATTCTGCCCAACCCATCAAACTCAGCGATGCCAGGGCAAGTGATGCTTCTCTTCGCGGTCACCGCCACGTATGATCTTTGGACCGCTTATGCAGACGCGGCATCCGCATTGCAGAGCAACCAGGTGGTTCGGAAGCTCCAGACCCAGGACAGGCACGCTTCAGCGCCGCGGGACACCGTTGGGAGTGGACCATTCAGCACCCATATCAGTTCGTTGGGAGACTTGAGAGATGAGCGCGTACAATCAGATTAGTCAGGTGCATGCGGATTCCAGGTGCTGTTGTTGAAGCGCTCTAGTTGGTTCTTCTAATTGGGCATATGTCCCTGGCACACTTAAGCCAAAACTCTAAGGATTCTGTTTTGAAACCTGTGGGTGGATTGTCGTTTGTGGCTGCTGAGATCTTGCCGGACAACTTGGGCCCTTGAAGATTAAGACTGGCTAAACAGCCTTTTGGTGTGTAAAGAGAGTGTTCACCAGGGCAACATTTGTCAAGATTGAAGCTTGCTGTTCAAGCTAGACTCAGCTAGACTCCCCCCACCAATGAACAGCCGCGGTGCAAGGCACCCTTTGTGCATGACCAAAGCTTGACCTTTGAACTCCCGGAGGTTCAGAACGAGAAAACCGCAGTACGTACGACCTGGTAGGACCAAGTTGAGGCCCATGGGTGTGGAGATGACCTTCCAGGGGGGAAGATGGCCTGGGAGGTCTCCTCTCTTTTATATATGCCAATATGAATACCAAGATGAGACCAATAGTCACATCTCGCTGGAGTCACAGATCTGGAGGGAATGTATAGGGCGGCACCTTTCTGGCGAACACCTATTTGTGGGTCATGGCAGCCGTCTCTCCGACCAGCCGCGGCGTCGCTCGAGTTCTCGGTGTCGGGCCGTCCATTCACGCCGGGCCGCCTGTCCTCAGGACAACTCCCCTTATGCATGGCTGGTGCACTTGCTGCTCGGTGCACCAGTGTGGGATGGTCTCCAGTCGGATCAGCGTGGACCCTTCGACTCACTTGGTAGAGGAACATGGTTTTGCGGAGTTCGTGTTCAGGGTCCATGTGAGTTATTTTCGTGGGAGAGGCATCCAACTCGCTGTTCATGGAATCCTTAGTGCCTTAGTGCCTGATGGCTAGTTTCCAACGGTTTCCCTTGATGACCTCTTGGGTTGGTCGGCACGGGTGGGGAAACCCTCCTTGCAAACCGCCGTGTCCCAGTCGGGCAGCGCCTAGGGTTTGTGTGCATTCTGGGCCAAAAGGACCCGAACCAACAGGTGATCCAAGGCATCTCCCGAGGGATACTGTACCCGACGGGCCATGGGGAATGGGGCATGACCGCTCGCCATCGACGGTGGTCTGCAACACCTCGTGTTGCCCAATCAACAGGTTTCAGTCGATCCTTTTAATGCTCTTCTGAGGAGTCTTGAAAGGAGGGCCTCCCCTTTCTAATGCACACCAATAATATCCAAGGATTACTTCAGTGGTTTTGACGCTGTTCGTTTTCGCCAATCTGGGTCTTGTGATCCCAAAATGGTCCTCCTTTTCAGCTTCTCCAACTCTGTAGACCAGCTGACCAGGCCAGCATGAATTCATTTAGAAACATACATGAAAGCACCGACTCTTTGTTTTCAGGACAGGGGAGCCTTAAAAGACCGGGTCATGGAATTTTTCTTCGCCAGTTGAGGGGACCCGTGTCGTGTGCCGGTCCGAGTGCCGGTCCGTCGGTGGATCCGTGCGACGAGTCCAGGAATTGGATGCTCTTGCTCGGAGTCTGGTGTCTCATTTGTATGGTGGCTTAGTTGAAATAGATTCATTCCCACCGCTCTCGGAACCGCTGCCCATTTTGTCAAGAATAAGACGAAGAGGCCAACCACCAGGTAAACCAGATGAACTTCCCACGGGGGAGACGTCTTCTGGTAAAGTTTGCAAATCGTTTGAATCATTTGTGTTATTTCCGCATTCAAGAGACATCTTTTCTTTCAAGGGATTCTGCCAGTTCGGTGTGATCCATCCCTCAGGTGTTTCCTGGCCTCGCCGACCCGCGGTCGCCCGGGTAGGAGACGTCGTTGGCCCGGTCCGAATCAACCAGTGTCGGTGTCGCCGGGAGTTGGATCCACCTTTGGGGGGGGTCCGACGAAATTCCGATGAAGGTCTTTTGGGTGGGCATTTTGGGGGAGATCGCCTTGGCTGGGTAGACTGGTCCCGAAAGGATTTGAGCTACACACCCAATTTTGGGGCGCAGGCGCTTGGTTCGTGGAACCCTCTCTCATGGACTGGTGGTCCGCCTCCTTGGAGGTCTCAATTCCAACGGGCTATGCCTACTGGACATGCTACATTCGACCAACACACGAGCGATTTCTTCCAGCGAGTGTGGTGGTGCCCAATGAGCTGATGCTTGACTGGGCATCTGGAAAAATATCATACTTTGTTGTCTATCCCATTACCAGGTGTCAGTGGATGATGATGGGGTCTGGTTGCAGGCCTTTCTCTAGAATAGTGATATATGTATAAAATACTGTATATATATATAATATATACTATATACATAGTTTACCGACTGTTACTTGTACAGGTAATAGGACAGACCCAACTTATACTTGTTGTTGTTGATGATGATGAGGAGGATGAGGAGGATGAGGATGAGACGGGGGGTGACGACACTCTTTCCTATGAAGAGGGCAGACCGTTCGTTTTATTTGCTTTTCTGAAGCCACCAGGCAGGGCATCGACGTTGAAGCTCTGTGAAGTGTGTCTGTCAAGGTCATGCAATCATTGCTTTAACCCATGCGCAAGAGAAAGATGCCCTCCTCGGTTCAGAGTCTAACAGAGACACCCATGGCCTTCAAAGCCCTCGAGTGGTGGTGACATGCCTGGGTCTGGCAAGTCTAAAGCCTCACCAGACATGGGTTAGGGCTCATCCGGGGCTTAAGGGGTCACACTGTGCCTTGCCTCCTGGTTTGAATCCCTCCAGGTGTCGTAGGTTGGCGGGATGTTCGGGCAAGAAGTCCGGTCCGCAGGTGGTTTCTGGGCGCCCTTCATGGTGACCGGTCACGACCGTGATCGTTGATGCAGATCTCAGGACTGGAAGCTTCACGCATGGGCTTTGTGACTGGTTTCAAAGGCCTGGACTCTGCCACCTGGCTTTGTCCAACGACTCGTCTGAACGAGGTTCCCCCCCCTTCACCGGGTGAGGTCACCTGCATCCGACCTGGACCGAGTCTGCCGGTTTGGGCTGTGGCATCAAACACAGGTCAACTGGGCAGATGGGAGATGTTCTGGGAGAGGCGCCCCTTAGGCCGTTTTTTGCCAACGACCTGGATTGCTGGTTAGGCAGCAACCAGCTGGGAGGACCCAGTGGAGTACCCCTGTTCCGTCAGAAAGGAGCCACGGTTGAGCCTGCGGGCAGCTAGAGTCGCTGGAGAGGGCCCTGTTCATCAGTGGTGCTGACAAGCCAAATTGAGTGTATTGTAAGACATGTTGGGATCTCGAGTGGGTTGATCTTGGATCGCCTTGAATTCCTTTTCACCTTGTGGCGCAGGAAAAATTGGTTTTCCTTTGTGTCTTGGGGGCAGGGTAATCTACTTGCAAAACTTGGGTACCCATGAGTACCCGGAACCTTTCCATGTGGATCTGGACTGTGAAAGTGCAGGTCTGAGAGTTTGCTCCCTTCATGGCACAGAGCCGAGCAATGATCATCCAATGGGTGTCAAGTGCCATACATAGCAGAAGACACCTGTATATACTTGTATAATCCTGTATGTATGAGATGAAGCAACTGCTCATCTCACCGTGAGATTCCGCCATGCTGTCGGACCTGATTCAGGCCTGTGCTTCATCTTTTGCCAGTGGTTCGCAATGGGAGACTTGTTTTATCGCGCCGGGCACACTCACGCGATCTCTCAAAATAGCACTCCACCATGCCAGGAGCGAACACGTTGCCATGATGTCAGCTTCAGCTCTCTTGAAATATGCACTCCGGTCGTGCTGCAGAGAGGCGCCTATATATCTGGTTCTGTAGGGTTTACACCCGCTGAAGCAATCATAGAAGTGGAACATGGCCCATTGGAGAACCATTTTCGGAATAGCAAACAGGTGGGAAACAACACTTCCATGAACTAGTCTTCCTTCTGAGTGTACCATGTTCTTTTTGGCGCCGCGAAAACATGGCGCCAGAACCGGGCTTCGAACAAAAAACGAACACCACCCACTTCCATGTGGGGCAAAAAGACGGCGATTCTCCAAACATTTCGTCCGCTGTCCCACGGTGAAAGCGGAGTCCG